TCTGAAGTATTTTGTCTACCAAAATTGACACTACTTTTCTTGTATGCATGAAGCCTATATGCATGCTAAAATATAAATTTTAAATAATATAATTCGATTGTCCACTTGTTAATCGCCGGTATTGGCTAAGGAGTACCCTCCTAAGTTGGTATAGTTGGACACCTTTCTAGTTGAATGTCGGGTTCTATACATACGAGTGACCGATAGTTGCCTTCGGAGTCCCTCGAGAATACTTAATTCTGAATCTAGCCCGATCCGAATGCTTACAACTTTCTTTCTTTCTTCGGGTTTTTACGTGTTTTCCCACGATTTTATCGAAATCCTTATAAAACACTTGTGATTTTCTTTAAATTTTCCTCATGTTTTTGACGGTTTTCTTCAAGTTACTGTGGGTTTTTTGCCACTTTTTCTCTAGACTTTTCAGGAGCCGCCAATCCATCAGGTATACAGGTTAGTTTTATATTTACAACGTTTATTTTTGCTACTGCATACTCTACTGCATATACACATAATTAATGTCTGCAATATTACCGTTTACTATTTACTGTGTCACATCGCATGTTTTCTTTTATAATTCATGTTGTTTCTACAAACTTGCAGGGGACTTTTAGGTTAGAGGCGAGTAGGACACCTAGTTCAGGAAGTACCCCTTAGCGAGCCGAGCCACTGACCCAACAACTGTACATTTATACACACCACAACCCCTGAACTTATAATCGATATGTTAAGGATCTTAGAGTAGTCTTTCCATTAAGCGGAGCGTGGAAGCAAGCTGACGGAGGACGACGATCGAGACCACGACGATGCGGCGTAGGATATCCCTTTGAAGTTAATGTCAAATCGTAGGATAGTTGGGAAGTCACCAGAGTTCTCCCTGGATCTGTGACATCTCATATCTCTCACTCCATTGACTCCTGAAAATAACTGTTCATATTTTGAGCCTTTCCCTCTTTGATTTCTTCATATTTCATTCTTGAAAACCTAAACTTTGCAATCTTGAAGGTAAAACCACTGAACTTAATCGAGAGTCTTTTTAATTGATTTCAATCATTTAAGATATAATTAGTTATAAGGATTTGCCTCTATAGGGAACTTAAGTTAATTACTTAAAATAAACCCTATTTAACTTTCCATGTTAAATAATGGAACTTGTTGGCTTATAAAAATATTTTGCAGACCAAATGGACATTATCGATCTTTTAGTTTATGTAGTTAAGCCTACCAATAAATTGTATGCATATCCTTCGGGATAGTGTATTAGTTGTGGTATTTCGCTCAGCCTCCTAAACGATCAAATACTTGAGGCCTGCTCGGTTTCACTTTTCAAAATTAAAATATTTTTTTTTCAAAATTATAATCATAATCATATACATATTAAATTAAATTCAAACGACCCACCTTTCAAAATAAAACGGCCGACAAGTCTCATCTGTGCAAAGATCTCCTTCTTGCACTCCTTATTACCATAACTTAACATAGGTGAGAAGTGAGCAAGATCTTGCCACAATCGCTCCAGTTTTATCAAGTACTTCTGAATTGATCTATCACCCTTTACCACCGCCTCTTTGTCACACTGAATCTGGAACACCTCATGTGGTTCTCAATCACTGCGTAAGTCCTCTTTAGCTTTGACCACATGACATTCACCATTCAAATACTATCCACTGATGAGGCAATCGATGGAACCATCGAGTTGAGAAGCCAGGTGTAAAAGTAAGACATGTGTGGTCCTCCACTCATCCCCTTTAACATTGTCACCCTTTGGCCCAACCTGGACTCCTATCATACATCACTCTTGTCTCTTCCCTACTAGAGCGGTCTCGATCCAACACGACCAACTCAGCTACGTGGCTGGTCCATCAAGCTTCAGATCCACAAGAGGAAAATATAACTTTACTTACTTCAGAGCATGTGTTGAGGTAGTGGCCTCGTCGAGACGTTAGCTCCTTGTTTGAACTCGAT